GATCTGAACGGGAATAAGACAACTCTATAGACTGAGGCAAGTTTATTATTACAAATACCTTATTAAATCTAAAGGGTAATGGCATTCCAATTAGCTCATTGTTAGGAATCTTTCATGTTTGACTTTCATGTAGACTGATTATGGGAATAATGCAGACCCTGTATAAGTAATTGGCACAAAATAAAAGCATTCGAGCTGCAAAAACCCTCCTAGAGGCTGTGCTCTTTAAAAAAAAATATATAAATAAAAGCTTCCTATCTTTCCCAGCTCATGAGTTCTCTCTGTTCACCATAATAATGAGACAACCCATTGAGCCTCCCGTGGGCCTGGCGGTATCGCAGTCCCTTTTACCTTCCCCTCTCTTCCCAGCAGCTGCAGGGGCTCCTTCTCTCCCACCACCCCCACTCCCCTCGCCTCCCATCTCAGCACGGTTCCATCAGCCCTGCCCAGCCACGATTCTCTCACACCCAGATCAAAGTTGGCCTCATCTCCCGCACCCTCCTCTTCCTCCTCCCATCTGCCATCCTGGGAGCAGCAATCGGAGGGAGCTTTATTTCACAAGGCAACCCAAGCTGGAGGTCTCCTTTTCCTCCATAGGGGAAGGAGCCTGGAGCAAGGTGCCCTCTCAGTCCCCTCTATCCATGAATGCCCATCCAGGCTGGGGCACGCAGCCCATAGGGCACAGATCCCCACGGGATGAAACAGCCCATTGTGGAACAAACCGGTTTTGGGAAAAGCATCCAAAACCACTGGCTGGAGCCTCGTTTCCTTAGGTTAGGGGAAGGAGCAGTATGAGACGTTTGGTGAGAAGGCCACAAGCATTCCACCCTGCCAGACTTTCCTTCCTCCATCTCTGACTCATCCAGTGCCAGCTTCGTCCTGTTTCTGGGCACAGAGGCTGCAGTGAAGCGTGCACCATAGGAAGGAACGCTACTCTGGATACACACCTGTGTTGCACCCTGCTCTGTGCCGGGGCCAGGCTCGGGACTGTACCCCCTGCCCTGTCCCAAGCTGTGGTGGGGGCAGGAAGCCCAGCAGGTGGGCCGGGGGTCTGGCCATGCTCCAGCCCCTTCCCCGCAATGGGAAGGAGCCAGGAGCAGGGCTCTGGATCACAGCTTGCTGGCAGGGCAGAGACAGCATGTGTTAACCGTATGATGGAGCGCCAGGAAAGGTCTCTCCAGTGTGGGAAGGGGAAGGGCCAGCAATTCCTATTTGGGAACTATTTGGCTTCTGCGGGGCTCTGGCTCTGCAGGGTAAGTGAGAAGCTGTGTGTGAGCAGCAGCTGAGTTTTGGGAAAAGCTGGGGCAGCAGATAGCAACAACAGGCAACAGTTCTGTAATACAGAAAGGCTGCAAAGTCCTCGTCCTTGGAGGTTCTCTGGGCTCAGATGCAAAGCCATGAGCAACCCAGTCTGAATTCAGTGCTGACCCTTCTTTGAGCAGGAGCTCAGTATAGAGATCTTCAGAGATCCATCTCAAACCAAATGGTTCTGTGATTGTGTGACTGAAGAAGGACTGGGAACAGCTATTTTGCCCTCTCAATCTGTTGAAAGCGTTTTCTGTTTCTGACAGTGCTGGGCACAGAATCTCTTCCATCAGTGGAGAAGCAGCATTTAGTAGAGCCTATATCTCTGCGGTGCTGGGGCTCCCCATGTTCACTGGGCCACTGCAGCCCTGCAGATGAACATGATTATCCTTTGCAGTTGATCTTGTTCAGTACTTCTGAAGGGTTAGGGACAACCAGACTGCTGGCAGTGTGCCTGCCTTCCTTCCTCTTGCCCAGTGATGTTCCTGATGACATCAGGGGAGAAATTTCCATGTATTTGCATAGGTGGGTCAGGACTTGTAAATCTATCTGATGCTCAGTGGAATCTCTGTGTTGGCTGGTTCATGATCCCCATGAAAATCAGTAATTTTTTATTTAGTAATATTGAGTCTATCATAACCAGGCATCACAGTCTTGTTAGGAATTAAATACCTGTGGTTTGTTTGTTTGTTATTGTTGCTTTTTCTTTTTTTTTTTTTCTCGTGTGTGTGTGATTCAAATAATGAATTAACTGGCTCCAAATGTTGCAACAGGTGAAATGACAAGCTATGGGCATATGCCTAAATAAAGCATACAGCTAAGCATGTGCTTAATTACTTTTCTGGACTGAATAAGGATACTTGACTAAACTGAAACAGAATACTGTTCCATAGCTGAAATATATAAACAGACCTGTACAAGAGAAGCCTGTATTGTGTGAATGAGAAATATTCCCATGGATGGCTAAGTTTTAAATTAACTCTGATTTTTATGGGACTCTTTGAACCAGAAACCACTGCAGAACTTTTAATACTAAGCTGGCAGTAATTTAGCCGTTGCTGTATTGTCAGGCATATTTATCCTGCCTTTGTATTTGTAACTGGTTTGTATTTACTTGTCACATTAAAATAACCAAGAATTCACTTTTGTGTGTTTGAGCCGTTCTGATGAGGTATGTGCAGATAAGAGCCTTGCTATCTGTCTGCAGTAATAAAGATGAAAAATCTGCTGACATCCCAAACAACTTGTAAACCAGGGCATTTAACAATGCTCATTTTAATGCTTAAAATCTCTACGTTGTCATTGTAAATTAGGAACCTCAGGTTAAATCTTGAATGCATTGAAGTCATCTGCTGCAAAGGATCCAGAGGACGTAACCGGCTTAATAGCTACAAAATCCTTCTGAATAACCCTCCTTATACTTCTGTCTATAAGGTTAACCAGAAAGGAAATTATGCAGAGTAAATTTTCTCTGTTTAAAACCCATAAGCCTTGCAAATTATATTTACATTTAATTAAAAAGTAGACACATTAGCCATTTTTTCTGGCTTTCTTTTTTCTTTTTTCTTTTTTTTTTTTTCCTGATTCAACACCGGTTCAGAATTTCTCCACAAGATATTTAATGATAATCTTTTTATAAGTGTTAAGATATTTAGACAAGGTTGCCTTTAACCCCGAGTCTTGATTTGTAAGCTTAATAAGTTTCCAGGCATATTATTAACAAGTACGGACAAAAAAATGTAGGAAGAAAAAAAAAAAGGAGCAAATATAAAGATTCAAGGTGTGTTAACAGTACTCAGGAGTCATACACTCAGGGAGAAGTGCACTCCCTCTATAGCCCTTGAAACGTCTCGTCTGCTTCAGAATTAAATCATTGCCTTATCTCAGCTGTATATCCATACTATATCACAGAATATATCCTCTGTCAACATCCTAAAAGTTATGGCCAGAAGGATTAGTGGTTTTCGTATCTGTATTTCGACGTAAGTCTCCTCAAAAGAGGGCCCGATTTGGATTGTGATTTCTTTGTTCATTCCATGCCTTCTGCTAAGAAGTGCTCTTAGTTGTGGGAAAAATAAGCAGAGACTGCTGAACACTAAATTCCCAAAGCCAGCACGAATTCCAAGCACCGGTCAGCTACCCAGAAAATTCTGCACTGACCCGTGGCCTCCAAGAGAGCTGGATATGTGAAACAAACCCTGAGGAGCTTTTGGACCTTGTTTGATGGTGAAAGCAGACCACCAGGAAAACACTGTCCCCAAGCCTGCATTGTTAAATTATCACCATCTGAAACTAATCAAGCATTTTGGGGATCAAGGTAATAAAGTGTGGAGGCCACAAATGTATTGCTCATAGCAAATAAGTTCAAATGAGAAGGATGAGCTAATCAGTCCAGGGGGAGGTAAATGAGAGAATTCTGATGATTATAGCTATTTGGAAATCCATGGAGGGAGGATCCCCATGGCTAAGAAACATTTCCACACCTAGAATTTGTGGAGGATGAGGTTTTGGTGGTGACGAGTTCTTTGATGTCTTTTCCTTTCCCCGCCTATATCCAAGCTTCACTTCAGCCTCAACCAGCATCTTGCTCCCAGGTGAGGATAATTCCTAGATTCTGTGGGGAGCTATCAGCCAACTTATTAAAAGCCTGTTTAATTAGTAATGATATTGCATTTTCACAAGGAAAGCATGTACACAAACGTCTGAAGTTGTGAATTGCAGTAACAGGGGATAATCTACAGAGAGACAACAAGGGATATTAATTGCAGCGCCCAGACTTGCCCATGTATTGTGCTTAAAGCCATGCAAGTGATGAGTGTGCATGTGGAATATTTGACTAAAAGCTCTCTTAGGAGAAAACAGAATAAAGCAACAGAAATGAAGAGGGAGAGAAGAAGAGGAAGGACAATTTTCTGACCGTGTCACTGTGTTGATTCAGAGATCAATAATCTTCTGCTGGAGAGGTACTTGCAAAAAAAAGCCAGGAGGTTTCCCTGCATGATGCCATAGCACAAACTTGCACCAGCATTATCTTACAGGTCTGTGCTGCTCATCCTGGAGCCTACATGATACCACACACAGTCAAAATTATGTAGTTCCCAAATGAAGGTCATTTACCCTAATGTCAAATAGAATTTATTTTGTTCCTTGACAAAAAGTGTCCAACTCAGAATAAAGAGACAACAAGAGAAACAAAATGAAGCTGAACAGTGTGTGATATGAAAAACACATCTGAATGCTTTGAACATTTTCAGGCCTGAAGCTGATGTTCCTCTGTGGCAAAGGGAGCTGAAGGGTACCATGGGATCACTGAATCTTTCTCTGCATAAATCACAGCAAAGTCAGAAATGCATGGAGAAGATCTGACCTCAGCAGGGTCTGAGCATCCTCAGCAGGTGGCTCCAGTTGTTAGTGAATTAAGCACAACACCTACACTTCAGCTACTGTTTATTTAGGAAAATCAACATATTTGATGAGAAATATTGTAACAAATTTTTAGCAATAAAATATCTGGATGAGTATTTCCCAGGTTTCTGATATTTTCCCAGTGTTGCAAAGGCTGCATCATTGCTTTCCAGAAATTCTTACTGCTTTGTTTCCAAAATGTCCTGAAAAGATTCATACTTTTTCCTCTCTTCTTATTTACAGTGTGAAGGCCCATCTGTGCTTTCTGCTGCAAGCTACAAAACCAGAAGTTTCCTTGTCCTGGAAAGGGTGATTTTATCCAATATCTTCAAAGGGGAGTGAGCCACGTGACTGTAGGGAAGCAGTCCAACCGACTCATGAGGCGCTCAGCAGAGGGAGATGAGGCACGTGGTAGGTAGTGTGTCAGTCCTGTGGTGATGGAGAGCTTCCCATGGGATCGCACCAGTGCTGATGCTATTGATGAGTGAATGCAGTTGGATGAGTCACAGCTTGTAAGGGAGATCCAGATCCTTGCAGTTATCCATCTCCATCGGTCCTAAAGCCTCAGAGCAGTGTAGGCATATCATGTCCATCGATTGCAGAGGGGCTGAACACCATAACATGTCTCCCTATGGATTCCTGAGCAGATGTCCTGAACTCCAACCTCTGGAAAACAAAATGGGCGACTTTAAGATAACCCAGAAGAGAGGAAAAAGGGACAATGTGAGGTCATCAAGAACAAATAACCACACAGAGCACTAGGCTTGCCCAGGTATACAGCTCACTGAAGCCAAAGAGAAGATCCTTCACGGTTTCAGCAGATCAGACCCAGACTTTTTGGCTGAGCGGGCTGGAGCTCTGCCTGCCTCCTGCCTCCTCCCAGGGTGAGTGCAAAGCAGCCCAGAGACAATAAGGCAAACCCGCCCTTTGATTTAAGCAAGGTTTGGCCAGGGCCCAGTGCAAGCCTCTGATGAGATCCATAGCTGTAAGTGACTTAGCCTGTGTCAGAGTGCAAATGACATCTCCGCCTGCCACGTGCACACCCTGCAACAGTAAAGATGTCATTAGATATTCCACATCTGAGGCAGAACACTTTTGCCAAACCCTGGCCCCATAGAATTTGGCATGACTTACAGAGATTAACCTATTAGTATTTATTATCGTTACTATTTAATATCGTTCTCCAAATTGTCAACGGGGGAGCAGAGAATGCGGGTAACCTGCAGGCCAATGAAATTTCAGGAGGAGAAAACTTCTGAGCTTCTAGAGCTGTTTCTCTCCCCTTGCTTTCCATGGAGCATGCCTGGCTGACTGAGCCATGTGTGGAGCTAGGGTGACAGCCTGTGGCAAAACAGAAGAATTTCAATGTATTAATCCTTTTGATTTCCACTTTCTTTTGATCTTTTCTCCACTTCCTGCTTGTCAGGCCAGACAAAGGTAGTGAAGTTTGGATCGCTACCATCAACTCTGCTTTGAAGGATGGACAGTTGCCAGCCTTTCTCCCCTCTTGTTTTTATCTCCTTATCCATCAGGTTCTGCATTTAACAACAATTTGTTTGACAAGAAGTTCTGTGACATGGGTGCTATTGGAGCCATGTCGTGATGGGGTCTTCTGGTTGGCAGGGAAAAAATCAGCTCTCTCAAGAGCAAGGCAACAGCCTCTACAACGAATATTTCTAATAACACATGAAGCATGATTGAATCCCCTCAAACGTTTATTCTGGGTCAAAGTTTTCTTCTGCTGCTGCTTCTTCCCTTCTTCCTCTTGAGCAGTAGAGGGCTTTATTATTACTATTTTTTAAATCTATATTCTTTCTATACTCTACCCAAATTAATCAAATAAATTTTCTTTAAAGCGACACTAAATGAGTTACAGATGGTTTTGCCCTTTTACAGGTTGCAGAAATCACCCATTACAGTTCTTTTAATTTATCAGTGAGGGAAAATAAGATGGCCTCTTGCTCCCTTGGCAGTAATAATCAGAAACAGTCTATTTGGAGTTTAATTTACCCCAAATACATATTGATATTTGCAATGAGGAATATGTGACCTCTTTGGGAGTCAACGATGGATGGAAGGTGGATAGCTTTCATAAAACCACCTTTAATAAAAAAGAGTGTTATATTGAGTATGTTTGGTGGTGTATTTAGGCATATGGTTTCCATATCAGGAGCTAAGATGGCAAACACATGCTTTACCTTCTGAGTAACCTTTCTAGTGCTCCTCAGTCCTCACAAAAAAGAAAGATACGAGGGAGGTTTTTTGGGTTTGGGTTGTTTTTTTGTTTTTTTGTTTTTTTCTATTTTACAATGCTGATGATATGGAAAAGCTGAAGAAATTTCACAAGGAATGCAAAACTTGTGCTTCTGCTTTTTTGCCTTTTTTTTTTTTTTTTTTTTTTTTCTCCCATGTAAAGAGAGGACAAGATTGAAATCTGCCCATGTGCTCCACCGTGTCCTTTTGGTGGGACCCAAACGGAGACTGATCCTCACCACCTCGGCCAATTCTCACAGTTGGATCCTCTCCTGCAGCTCCTGGCACTGTAACTCCTGCCCAGAAGACAGGAACAGGGACATGCGATAGGGCTTGCTCTGGAGAAGGGCTGCCTTGCTCTGCCAGTGATAAATCTAGTGGTCCCCTTGCTTTTTCATCACTTGCCTAATCCCGTGCCCTTCTTTTCATGTGCTGTAATTGCTCCCAGCTGCTCCCACAGCCCAACTGTGTGGAGATTGTGAATGAGGCCCCGCAGAACAATGGCAATGGCTGCTCCGGGTTGCCTCTGGCTTGTGCCTCCTGCAGTCCACATCTGCCCTGCTGTGTCCCATTTTGGGAGCGGGCTTTTCCCCCTGACCTTGCTCTGTGCTGAGGAGGGTCCTGGGGGGCACAGTGCCCCTGAAACAATAGTATATGTTATGAGAAAAAAGCAAAACAAGGACAACTTTGCCATCGCCAGGGAGAGAGCAGCCCTCAGGTTTTGGTCCTCTTAGGTCCTGAGGGGACCAGAGCCTTCAGCCCTTCACTTTCTAACATGAGTTCTTCCTCCCTTCCCCAACTATTTTTCCACCTGAGAAAGGCTTGGGAAAGAATTTTCCCAAGTTAATTGTGTCCTTCTGGGTTGAATAAGGCGTATCTCATTAGAGGGGGAGAAGGGTTTAATATGAACTTCAAGCTGCTGTCTTAATGCTACAGAAAGGAGATTCCTAATCAGCACAGTATATGTTTTCTACAATTGCTCTTTGACATTCCTTGTCTTTCCTGGCTAATTTCAGTGAAGAAAAACTGTGGTGAAATGTTCCAGTGTGTTTTCATAGGAGCAGAAAAAAAACCTTTTTGTTTATAAATGCAGGGTTATTTAAATGATCCAGAGGATCAGCTGTTTTCACAGGTCCACTGCTGAAATGTAGTACTATTTTTCTTTCTGAAATGAGGCTTCAGCCAGGGAGCAGCTCTGGGAGGCAGCACAGGAAAGCGGTCCCATCTCACATTGTGACAGCTAGACCAAGTTATTTCAGATTAAAACACCTGGTTTCACAGTACCTTGAATGCCCAATCTATTTTTGAAACTCAAGATTATTCAAGGCAGACTTTGACTTTTAAGCTCCCAATTTCTAGAGGTGACACCGCCACAGCTGTTAAAGAGGTGGCATTTGCCACCCTGCCCCACACTCAGTGTGTGAAGTTTGTATTAATGTTTTATCCAGGTACAAAGGCATCTGAAGGATTTTAAGTGCAATCCTTCCACAGGAATGGCTTGAACACACCTCCAGACAGCAGGAAGTGCTTGTTACTAGCAGCTGAGGATGGCTTGCTGAAAGGCTGTCAGCATTTTCTTATGAGAGAGAACATTACATACACTTAGTGAGTACATGTGCATATGTATATGTATATTTCTAATGTGTACACAATGTTGTTTCTTGGTATTTATTTGAGGAAGGCTAGGGTGTAGTGGGCAGTTCTTGCTGAGTCAGTTCTTATTTGCTCTCACATTCTGCTGTTTATGTGAATGCTCGCACTGCATGGGGGAAGAGTATGTCCTTCGAGGACAAGAAACCTCCTAAGTCCTAATGGAGCCAAACAGAGAGGAAACAGGACAAGAAGGACACATAGGTCCAGATGAGTGCTACAGAAATGACCCAAGGGTTGGAACACCTCCATACAAGGACAACCTGAGAGAGCTGGGGCTGTTCAGTCTGGAGAAGAGAAGGCTCTAAGGAGACCTAAGAGTGCCCTGTCAATATGTAAAGGGAGGCTTTACATACTGAAAGCCTGGGATATACTGAAATACTGGGAATACTGAAAGAAGGGGATAGACTTTTTAGCAGGGACTGTTGTGATAGAAAAGGGAAATGGTTTCAAACTGAAAAAGAGGAGGTTTAGATTGGATATATATATATATATTTATAATAAGAGCAGTGAAGCGCTGGCACAGGTTTTCCAGACAGGTGGTGGACATCCCATCCCTGGAGACATTCAGTGTCAGTCTGGACGAGACTCTGAGCACCTCATTTGGCTGCAGGTGTCCATTGCAAGAGAGTTGGACCAGATGGCCTTGAGATCCGCCTTCCAGCTCAAGGCATTCTATGATTCTATGATTATTCTCACAGTTTCAGGATCTCTGCCTATAAGATGCCTGTGTGCCACCTCACCTTATTCTTGCAATGTGGTCTTGTATTTTTTACTCAAAACACCTCTCTGCAAGTTTTTATTATTTGTTCTTGAGGTAGTACAAAAAATATCTCCTTTTTTTTTTTTCCCCCTCTTCCTGAGCACTTTTTTAAAGAGGGCAGTTTTATTTCTTGCCCTGAACCTAGTCTCACAGGAGGGGCAGGAAGGAACATGCTCGCCTGTGTGTCCTATCCCCACTCTCCACTGTCTCATTTTGTCACTGGTGCAGTTTCTCTTCTGCTGGATGACATGTGAAGGCCATGTGTGTCCCAGAAGACCATCTGAACACAGAAGCACTTCTTTGGCTCAAGTGGGACATGTCTCTGCACATCACACATTCCCTGTTAGGAATCAGGTCAATGTGCACCAAACTGGAGAAACTCCTAAAGTTGCAGATCATGCCCTTTGCTACAAGGCTGCCATCTCCTTTCCCTTTCAAAACAGCTGAAACATATGAAATAGCAGCTGTTGAACATATTCTCCCTTTACACAGCGTTTTTCCAGTGAAAATTGGATTGATTAGTACCCATTTGCCAGGTTCTGCTGCATTATGACAATAACACATGGCATCATTTCAAACCAGGTGGGACTTTCTTTAAAACAATATTTGGTGACAAAATAAATAAATAAATAAATAAATAATGCAGTTTTAGCTATGCAAAATTCATTTTAATATGCATTTCCCACAGCCCTGCTGTGAGATGCATCTTCTAAGTGCAGTACATCAGCTCAGGTCAGCAGTTAGA